CTCCATCTCCAGCWCTGAAGGAAGAAAAAAAAAGTGGTGATGGTGGTGGGTTCTCTACACTACACAACATATTACTTGCCATTACTGAGCTTGTTCTGCAAGGGCAGACTGACATTTAAACGGGACCAATTTGTGGCACTATGCTTATGTTTACACAGGAGCAAGGGTTGTGATAGGACTTCAGGAACTGAAGCCATTGGACCTTCTACTTGCATATGAGAGGAACACCAACAGCACGCTGGAGTTAAAGCCAGTATGCACAGAATTAATCATATTCCRATGAAAGGAAAGGGATTCCATTTCTATACCAGACGCTGTTCTGATAGCAAGAATCAAGTCTGGATCAGACACAAAATATGTCTACACACAGCAAGGATAGCCAGCTTGGGGCTTGCATTGACTCTTTTTTGGCCATAATCATATTACTCGCTCCTGCCCACCTATTTTGGTGGAAAACATCTTTTAATGTACAACTTCAGATATAAATCTTACCAAAGAAAATGGATCCTGACTTGGAATTTTGCACCAAGAGGAGACCACAGCTTTTTACAGATGGGAAGAGGAATTCTAATTCCCTCTGGAAGCCTGCATCCCCTCTTGGTTTCATGATCTAGAGTCATTGCCAGTCTAGGTAGAAACCCTTGTGCAGGATGAAGGACACACACTACGCTCTCCCTTTCATACACATGGCCAGGTTCTTTTTAGTACTGGGGATTGAACCCAGGGCCTTGCACCTGCTAGGTAGTGGTCTAACACTGAGCTCTATCCCAGCCCCAAACATTGCTACTCAACAAAGAACTAGAGCCTAGAAGTGACCTCCAAATTCTTTTCTATGCAAACTTGGCAGCTGCCACYATTTCGCCACTGCTGTCCACTGCAAAGCTTATTTTATCTCATTGTGGATATTCTTGTCCTAGAAAACCACCTACAGGTGACCCAATCATCAAGAATAAAGCCAAGTTYTGAGTGGGCAGAAGTAGTCTGCTGATGCAAGTAGGGTAAATGGGTTTATATTATTATCTGCCAAATATTTCTTAGATGAAAGATAAAACACTTAATGGGCACTGAAGGCTAAATTGCATTACCCTCTCATTTCCATCCCCATGATTGATGTTGAGAGGCAGTACTGGTGACCTGGTCAGTAAGATGTTGCTCCAWCTACGGGCTTTGGGTTCAGCCCTCTCTAGGTATAAACCAAGTTGTCACCTTAGCAGAACAGTCACCCACCCTGTGAGCTGTGCATTACCTAATCACCCAGATGCTCACCTCCACCCAGTCCTCGGCCATTGCAGGAGATGAGGGGGGCACACTAAGGGTGCCCTGCATCTTCCTCAGCCTCATGATCACAGGAAAGCAATTGCTTAGTCAAAATCTATCCTTCAGGTAAATGGAGACTTTGTGTGTGACATGACGAGTCTGGAACTTTTGTAGGATGCTGAGATGGATTTTTAAAAGGAAAAACTCAAGTCTTCGAAGTGACTGTTGAACTGGAAATGGGGTTATCAGGCCACCATTTTATGAAAATTAAATCGGCACAAATAGATGTGGAGCAGGGCAAACCTCATACCACCCAGGGCTTCCTTTGAAAATCATTTTAACTACCCTTGACCTCTACCACTGTTGTTGGCTTTTGTTTTTCAGTCAATGTACACTTTATCCCCATCTATATAGAATAGAAGAAAAATGTTCAAGGTGTAGTTTCTTGCTCAACAGTGGGATTAAGCTGGGCATTTAGTGAAACATTTGAGTCGTCCCACAAATTTATAATCTCAGGGTGAAAGCCATATGGAGCTTTGAAGCATCAAGTTCTGTGGATCACAAGTTGARGCAAAGTTGCCACCTCTAAGTTGGCCACTTTCTGTCATTACCACTTCCTCTTTGTGTTCTCACAAAAGTTCTTTTGTTTCTTGTAGCATATGTTTTGCAGTTTGTACAGTTCTACCAAATAGCATGTTGCAAACACAAAAGTATGTGTATCAGAAGTCTCTGTATCTTGAAATTGGAATGTGGGTGTGATTCATGAGTTTTGCATCAATTATTAAACCGCTGGAGATGAAGATAGGCAGAGATGGATGGGCAGTAAAGTATTCCAGGTACACCTACCAGCTTAGGGCGGTGATAAATGAGTTGGGAAACATGAAAGTTCAAAGCAGGTTTTAACTCGAGCTGCAACAGCGTACGCTCTGAAGGGAGGTAAACTACAGCTTGATATAAACCACCTCAGAGACAAACCAACTGGYTGGGAGGAGTCAAATAAACCTAAGGACTTTGTAAGAGAAACAAAGATTTTCAGAGCCATTCTGTGCCACTCACGCTTTCTCTTGCAGGATTCTTGAGGGAGACAGAGCTCTGGAGAAGGACACCATTTGGGAAACAAATGGGATGCGTCTTATTATCTGGGACTATGTCTAACATTCCATAATACAAAGTTCTAATAATACAATACAAGGAAACCTTCCTTGTTTTGACCCATGTGAGCCTGAAGTTGGGAGAGTGAAGATAGTTTCAGGATGTGGGCAGAAGGGCAAGTATGGTTGTCCTTGGGAAAACAAGTTGTATTTCCCTAAGTGACATTCCTTGCCAATGGATCCAAGGGCTCACACTGGAAAAAGCAATTTCACTCTTTTGATACCCAGCTTCATCAAAAAAAAAAAAAAAAAGGTTAACCATTTAGTCCCAGTGCTAGGGCCCTGCACCCCACCTGGACCTCCAGAGCTCTGTTAACATTGCTGCCCTGTGGAAGGCATAAATTACACATAAGCAGAGCTTTATAACTGAGCCCTAAGACACAAGGGTGTCTAACCCCAGGGCTGGTCTCCCTGCCGTCCTCTCAACACTCCTGCTACTSTGTCTGGGAAATGTTAGTGTTTGAGCAGTCTGAGGTCCTTGACTCTTTCCCTGATACTTGACAGAAGTCCCAAAGTGAAAAGAAACAATCACASCCCCTTAGGTTCTACCCAGGTCAGGAAGCTCTATGCCTGACCTTGGCTACTCACTGCAAAGCTGGGAGCCGTCACTCATGTTCGAAGTGTACCCAGCACTTAGTGCTTTGCAATCCTGACATTCCAAGGCAACTGCAGACATCAAACAGCTGCTTTCTTCCCTCTAAACACAAGAGTAGTGGGCTAAGRTGCACAAGTTAAAACAAAGGAACAACGTGGTCAGCACTTCCCCTGAAGGGGCCGGTTTCCCAGCCACGACAGACTGCATTACTCCTCAGCTCGGAGCACTTGTTATATAAACCACCCTTGTGAAGTTATATCAAGAGATTACCAGCCACGTAACTTATTTTGTGTCTTCTTACGCTTGACTCATTGGAGGGATCTTTCTGAGAAAAAATACTCCATTTCCAGTGTAGGTCCTCATTAAGAATGGAGCAGCCTTTTCTGAATGAAGACACTGAGGGCCAGAAGTCTCAAACKGGTGACCCACAAACCATATGCACTTCACAGACAAGATTTTCTTTTATTTTCATGATGCTTATAAAAAGAGTTGTCAGCATATAAAATTTAAGAGATTTTAGTATCAAATTTTAGATATACAGCTTCTTAAAAAAAAAAAAAATGAGAACATTGGCCAACCCATAAAGTATTTCCTGGCCCCAAATGAATTAAGCCAGGGTCCATTTATCCCTTAGAGGGGGCCACAGCCTTTTTAGTTAACCTGGAAGACTTCATCCATGCTATTTTGTGACTCTATAGGGTTTAAATTTGCTACCCATGAGGTCAGTCATCCAGGAGGTCAAAACAAGATGATATTGTGAATTGTTGGTTCCATGCCTAGTTTGCAACAAACTGAGCTTTTGCTTTATTATTTTTATTTTTATACAAAGAATGTCTATTAGGAGCATTTCCATATATGGAAAAAGACAGCTACTCTATGTAAAAGGGGGCTGTTTTACATGATTTACCTGAATAAATCAGGCATACAAATAAAATCCTGAAATGAGGATATAGAAGGAAGACTGGAAATTGGTATTATTCCGGGGTGATTGCCTTTGTTTTCCACCTCACGGTTTCCCCTTTACTTTCCTTACATGCATGTTATCTTTAGAATGTTGCTCAAAGGCCATGGTCACAAGTCCCCTGACTTTTTTCTTTTCTTTTTTTTTTTTTTTTTAAATAACTCATTTGCACCCTTGGTAACAATTGTTGGAGCCCTGCAGGGGAATAATTGTGGGGGAATTAACCTCTGACATTTTTCTAAAAATAGCCCTAATAAATCCAATCATAGGTAATTTACCTGTCCTTGTTCCTCCCGGGTAACCAGCATTGAAGAAAGATCTGGCAGGCTGGCATTCCTTCAGCAATTATCTGTGATCTGAGTTCCTGGCGCCTATGCTTTTTCTCTGTTTATAAATATGTACTGATTGCCCTTTCCCCTCTGACCCGGTGACCTCATTTGCTCGGCACCCTTCTTCTGGGTTGGAATGAGGCCATGCTGGTCCAGTAGGGTRTGCTGGGCTCCCATGGAGAGGCAGGGCGCAGATCAAGCTGAGGCACTTAGGGTCTCCCTCCCTCCCTCCCAGAGATCTCTGAGCTCTCCTCCTCCACTCTTGGCGCCAGAGCTTCCCGCATCCTAGCTCTGCAGCATCTCAGTCCTCAGCCCTAATTCAAATCCCCATAATTGAAATCAGATTGGGGAAGTTTCTTGGTGTAGAAAACGAGGTGGGGGAGCCCCGAGTGGGTGACAGGGCTGTGGCTAGCAGAAATGCCCAGAGTCACAAAGAAATTAATTTCTCTTTCCCAAAACAAAAGGGTCCGAACAGGCTCTTSTCTTTTGTTCCAAGAGACCACACAGTGCAGTGTGGCCATCAAGAAAATTTACCTTCCCAAGTGCCACTTCTGGTGGCACTTAAAATACAGAACAGAAAATCCTTGTAAATTCCACTGCAGAGAAAAAGCCCTAAGCCTTTAAATGYACAGAAAAGTATGTCTATTATCTATCCTTTCCAAGTAAGTGTGCAGTTACTTAAATTGCCTTTGTCTTCTTCTTTTCAGCTGACATTATCTCTACGGTAGAATTCAACCACACGGGAGAATTACTAGCGACAGGGGACAAGGGGGGTCGGGTTGTAATATTTCAACGAGAGCAGGAGGTAAGTGGCRGTGAATACAAAATGCCTATTTTCTTCTCTTTCTAAAGGAGGCTTCCTGCTGTTTCTTAATCCTCATGTGTCACCCTTTACCTTTGCTGCTTTGCTCACAAACTTAAAACTGCCACAAAGTCATTAGCATCAACAGTTCCACTCACACTCACAAAACTACCTTTAAAAGGTGCTTTTCCCCGGGGGTGGGGGGGGTGGCCTTATCATTTCCCCATTCAGAGACCCTCCATTTTCATCCAACCTGCAAAATTCCACGGATGCTTTTGGAGCACAACTCCTCTTTTTGTATTGGGGTTTGTTCTGAAGTTATTGAAATCTAGTCTTCCTTGATTTAAGGAAGTTGCCAGAAGAATATGAAAGAGAAAAAAAAAAAGTCTGGGTGTTTTTTGATTATTGCCAATAATTGCAAATGGAACAAGTTGGGTCCCTAGAGAAGAAAATGACAGCTCAGCCTACCCAAGGAAGTGAAGTCCCCCAAAGTGACGTCTCAGTATGGCATACATGTTAGTGGAGGTGATGTGAGGGTCCCTGGAGCTGAGTGCTGTATGCAGCACTATTTCTGAGCAAGAGTTCTAACTTCTAGTAAATCTCAAAAAGCCCATTTCTTCTTGAGACTTGGGTTCCCACTAGGAATTGTTTCTCTTTTTCATATAAATTGAGTTTTTTGGTGTCTGCTTCTATTTTGTCAGAATGGAATTATGGCCCAATTTGATTTCCTTGTCCTCCCCTGGCACAGTCTTGGAGCTTCCAGCAGGCTAGTCTGTGTTCTAGTAACTCTCCCATCTGCCACTGCCTGCCTCTGAGATTCATCAGGCACTCTGGAAGCGTGAAGGAGGCCCCATGTAAGAGAAAGGCTTCACCAGAGACTTCCTTAGCAATTTAATGCCTATTTTGTGCCTCAAAGCCATTTGCATTACACCTCCCCTCAAAAAAGGAAAGCCTCATTTAGAGGTGATATATTTGGTAATTGCACATTATTTGCAATTAATTTCTATAAGGGCATCGTAATCCCTCAGGGTTCTATATAAATTCAAGTGCTCAGCATTAAATCAGGCACCCAGCCTATTGCACTGGCCCTGGAAACATGAAAATGTGGTTGGCAAGTAGGAACTAATAGCTCTTCGTGACCTGGAATTTTTCCTGCTTTTCCAGAGCTGCCTGGTGCTAATTGGTCTGGCACATACTATACACACTTGACAGTCTGATTTGGATGGTAGCAAATCAACACTCTTATAAATTTGTTGTTAAGGTGGACTGGCTGTCTGTGCAAGTAAACAGGAGAGTAGCAAGTATGTCAGCATTGAAAGTCTTTTGAAAAGTGATTTTCAAATCTTCTCCAATTWAAAAAAAAAAAAATCCAATTAGGTTCACAGTGATGATAAAGAGGAACCAGAGGAGCTATTCAGCATAAATTACCCAAGGCAGCATGTTGCCAGTAATATTCCACCCCACATTTTCCGTTACTATTTATAGGTTTCACCTATTTTAATTTACTGAAATATCTGGGAAGCCTGATTCATTAATAGAATGATGGGGGCCACATTCTCCAAAGCTAGGCTTTTTTTGYTCACTGGAAAATAAATGTTAATGAGGATAAAGAACATGCTGTTAAGTGTTTATCTTTGTAGGGAGTCTGGGATTAAAATGCATGCTAAACCTGACAGACAAAGCCATGTGACATTGGGGCAGGCCAGCTTTTGACTTTAGTGGGCAACCTCTGCTATAGTGGGTTTTCAGTGAGCACAGTCCATAGAACCGGCTCATCAGAAACCCCCATGCCCACAAATGGATTTCACACCAGAGCTCAGCATCATTGCCCATCAGTATGTTGAACAGGCTTTGGATGTTCTGTATCTACCTAGGAACATAAATGTTTATTAATAGTCATGCTTTTATAACAAATATTTAAGAAGATTTGAATTTTTGAACAGTTTTCCAAAGCCTAAATCTCTTAGTTCTTGGTATTGGTCCTAAAATACCTGAAGTAAAACCTCCCGTCTCTCTTTCCTTTTCTTGTTAGCACTGTTTTCCCTCCTCTTCCCTTTTTTCCCTCTCTTTTGCCCCTTTCTGCAGACCCTTGCATTTCTTTAGTTCCCGCTGTTCACCCTTTGCACAATCAGCACCAAGGGAAAGCCACAGGTAAAGTCTCATCATTCTCTTAATGATACAGATGGCCTCTCTGTGCTCCTGTTTTGTCACTCATGTGGGGAGGGGTTCCTGATCCCCAAATCTGATCCCCCATAAGCTGAGAGACCATGGAGAAGTCATTTAATGTACCTGAGCCTCATTTGTCTACGTCCCTGCCCACCTACTTCTCAGAGATTCTATGAAGATCAGGTGGGATTTTAAAAGGCCAGTGGCCACTAAGCAAAAGACGGTGAAGAGAAGAAAAGAAAAAGAAAAAAAAAAAAAAGACTGTGAAGGTCACAGTTGCTACCACTTTGTTTTGGTTTTGTTTTTATTTATTTATTTATTTTTTGAGACAGGGTTTTCACGAAGTTGCTTAGAACCTCGGTAAGTTGCTGAGGCTGGCTTTGAACTTTTGATCAATCCTCCTGCCTCAACCTCCTGAGCTGTTCCATGCACCACCAGGCCAGACATTTATTCTTTTTTAAAGAATTGATTACAAATATATTTGGACACCAGCATCAGATGGCTATTCCAAAGAGCATCTAAGGCATTCATTGGATACACAAAAGAAATTGTGAGAGCTTCTGTTTATGTTGATTTTAAATCTTATATTAACCTGTTTGTATATGCTATGATGTATACCATATATTAGTGCAGAAGTTCRTGTATAAGGTTTATAAGAAAACATATGCATGTTGGAGACACCAGTTGTTACCAAGAGGATGCATGATCAAACGCTTTGGAGGCTCCTAAGTAAGGGTAGAACATTACCTGTAATGGTCTCAGCTCRTCCAGCTCAAACACCACCTCCCCCTCCTGCCCCTGATGACTCCACTCAAAGAAAAAAGGAATGGGCGAGTTTACAGTTGGTTTCCATGATTTAATCTTTTGTGTATTCTTTTATTTTCCCTTTCTACAGAGTAAAAATCAGATTCATCGAAGGGGTGAATACAATGTTTACAGCACATTCCAGAGCCATGAACCCGAGTTCGATTACCTGAAGAGTTTAGAAATAGAAGAAAAAATCAATAAAATACGATGGCTTCCTCAGCAGAATGCAGCTTACTTTCTTCTGTCTACCAATGGTATGTGGAGGTGATTTTCCTGTTTGAGATTTTCAGAGATGTGGTCAGCCAGCAGTATGTGTCAGTCTCTTTAGTCTCAATTTTCCTCTATACTTTGTGGTCTGGTGAACATAGAACCACGTTTACAAGATGCTTCACAGTGTACCAGGCACACACACAGTAGGCCCTCAATGCATAGTAGCCATTTTTTTAAATAAATATCAAATTTATGACTGAATTATGTGGTACCCATTATCAGCAGTTTTCAACTAATGTAGATTATTTGCAGGTGTTTTTAGTATGTGACTTCCTGTCTTTAAGATTCACCAAATGTTACTCTGGGCACACGTTTCAGGAAACTTGACATGCCGTCTCTGTGAGTTTGGCATGCTGAATAGAAGTTATTAATCCCTAAATATATTTTAGGGTCTGTAAAGCAGATGGCTGTGTGTGTGTGTCTCTGACAAAATATCTAAGCTGGGAGCCCATGTCAGGAGGAGTTAGGGACACAGCAAAAGAATTGATCAAGAAAGGATTTCCTTTTCCATCTCCCTCCAAACTCCTGTACCATTTGTTGGTTTAGAAGGAGTTGATATAAATAGGTCAGAGAGAGAATGCTGGTGTTTGAATAGAGAGCCAAAGTGCTCATTCACTGGATAAGTGGAGTTACTAGAGTTACCTCCCTCCAGGTTCTTAAACCTGTGCTGCAAAAAGCCATCTAAGCCCAACACAATTTAAAATAAAGTCATATAGGAAAGGGTGATGCTTTTTCAGCATGACAAGAGGATTAGTATATGGAAATTAAACACCATTTCCCAGACAAATAAGTTGGAGACTGATTCCTTTCATTTGTGTGTGTTTATGAGGAGTACATACTTAAATGCAAATCAAGACGCAAGGGATTTGCTTTTTACCTACACACAGCATTTAAGAAGAAAGGAAACTGGTCATATCAAGTGAAAAACAATGCAGATGATATCTATAACACAATAAAGCATATGTTATTTTAAAAGCCTGGAAAGAATCACATCAAAAAGCTTATCATGATTAATTTTTGATTGTGCATTATAGGTGACCTGTAAGTTTGGTTTTTTTATCATTGTAGTTCACTTAACATTTTCATTGTCTAATTTTGTACRATGAGTCTTCTATTAATTTTATGCAAAAGAGAAAAGTTTTCTGTGCATATGAGCCCCCACATCCCTCTAATATAAAGTGTAAGAAAATGGCAGTTTTGAAACAGGCATTTTAGAGTTATTGAAGCACATCTCATCTCAACAGGACCAGATCTCTACTCATCTGTTTTTCCAGATTCCAAATAATTTAATTTTTTTCTCATAACTATATTTATTGTTTATATTTTGAAAACCTAATTTCTTGGAAACCAAACCACATGATTTTGTTTTAGTTTCTTCCCTTTGAATTTTGCTGTTCAATTTTCATCCAGAGGCTCTGCAGTTTCAACATGACTCAGAATAAAAGGAACTTCTGATAGTTTTGACCTAATTACTTCCGGCAGAGGAGAAGTGTCTGATTATCTTCTATAGCTAGATTAKGTTATATTATAAAATTTAGCCTATTGATTATTGCAATAAAATTCAAAGACTTATTAACYACTTTGGAGGGGGGATGGGAAGGAAAGTGAAATGCAATGAAGATTAATTATATAGCATAATGTTCTGTTAATTGAGTTTTTAAATAGTTTTTTGATTAACAAGGATATTATCTTCCCATTTGGGATGTTATTTCRTATGCCAACAGCATCTCAAAATGATTCTTATAAGAAAAATTCCCATGTTCTTATGCAATTTTCTATTTTATACTAATATTGAGGTTGAGACTCCCCCCTAAGCCAAATAGGTTAACTTGCAAAAATTAATGGAAGACAATTGGAATTACTGTACAAAAGAGAAAATGAAGATAAATGATAAGATTGTGTTTAAAGCTGCCACAAGTGATGATAAACTACTCGGAGAACCAGCCAGAAGAAAGAAAAAGCCATTACTCATAGAAACAGCCACATGTTCCTTAGACTTTTTTATCCACAAAGCTTCAAGATACTGAGTCAAGAAAAATGGTGTGATAATCAAGTCAAGGATGACTCCCGGCAACGCAACCCTGGGGAATTGGATCGAATCCTCCATCAATTATCTTTTTTTTAAATTGTGCTTATCTCATTATAGTTGGGCCTAATTTTTACCTTCTGCTAAAGTGTTTTTCCAACCTCATAATTTTTAATGAAAAAATAAAACTAATATCCCATTATGAATCTAGACCTTGAAATTATCTGTCATGTGAAAATATGTTGCTTGACCTAGCTTTCCACTTCTTTCTTGATGCCTCTGATGAGAAGGGAAGSGATCCTGAGTTTGTTTTTCATCAAAGTGATACATGTTCACTGTAAAAATTGAGGAAATACAGAGAAGCAAAATGAAGACCATAAAAGTGTTCCAATCCAGATAAATCTCCTATTAATGTCTTTTAAAGCAAGAGACCAAAGGCACAGATGAATTTGGGTGTTTTTTCTTAAAGCAGAAATGTGATATATTCTATAAACTTTTTAAATCATGTTTTTAATTTAATAACATGGATCTTTTCCTAATTGTTAAATATTCTTCTAAATATCGCAACATTTTCAATGACTACATAGTATTCCTGTGTATAATGCCTTGAGTATCCAACTATTGAATCTTTAGGGGTTAACAAATTCTCATTCCTATAAATTAATATTATATTATGTGTATAATCGAATCTTATAAGCCCTTTTAGATGTTATGAATAAGCATAATTAGGCAAGACACATTATAATCGTATATAACCTGTTATGTCTACTAAAAGTAGTTAATATAATTATATAAACAAATATAATGAATATATAGAAATTTTCATTTTAGTTATCTCTGTCTAGTAGAATTGAGAGTTTTTTTTATACCTTCTTGCTCATTTTCATTTTCTAAATTACAAAAGACATCTATACTAAAAAAAAAAATCTATATGTGCAAAATTATTATAGGTTTGTAACCTCCCCCCAGAAAAATCACATCAAGGAAACACTGTAAGAATTTACGCAAAATTCTGATGACAAATTGTCCCTGACCAGAGGGATTATAAKCGATTTTTATTCTTTGTGTTTTACCTGTGATTCCACTCTTTCTTTGTACAGCAATTTATCATTCATGATAAAAACATAAGATAAAAATTGCCTTGCAAATGGGATGGGACACGTTTCAAAGCCAAGCAACAGTAAATATTTGGTGTTAGAATCCACTAACTCCTGAGTTATTCTCAGCCACAGCTCATCAGGAACTAATCAAGTGACTATAAATACAGTCCATGTTTCATCTTCTTACCCTAAAAAGCAGTATCTTATGCAACAGCAATCCAGAGAGGGTGGGACCAGAGGGGTTGGCATGTAGATGGAAAGTTCTGCATTAAGCTCACAGCTGGAAAAGGCTTCTTCACCTTTTGCCCATCACCAGCCAGGGTGAGTGCTTTGTTCAGAGCACACAGATTGTAGCAGCCTTGCCAGTGATGCTCAGCTATGTGAAAACAGGGGCACTTATCTGTTCAAGTAGCCCCATTGCTGCTCAAAGCCCACGATGTGGCACATTTAAGCCCTCCAAGGACAAGGCATTTGTTTCTGATGGTTTMAGGAAGTAGTACTGTGAATTCACTTCCTGTCCTTGCAAGATCTGTCTTCCCAAAGATGCAGGAAATGGGAAGTGTGAGGAGAATGGAGGCCCGAGATGAGGGTGCAAAAGAAAAAGGAAATCCCAGTAAGGCAGGGAAGGGGAATGGCTTCCCCCATGACAGTGGTACAGAGAGGGGGTATGAAGTACAGACATCACTGAGGGATGAGCCTAACGCTGTCAGGGCAGCATGTGGTCATTGCAAAATAGTTGACTAATTTGCTAATCCCAATAACAGCAGCTACTTGCAGATCATTATTAGCAGACCAGCACTGTGTTAAACACTCGCTTGCTATTATTCATTTATTGCCAGGAGCCCCTGGAGGGAGATACTGTTTCCCTTCATTTAAAAAATAAAGAAACTGAGGCACAGAGTAACTGTCTTCATTGGTTATGTTGAAATATGTGGCATATACTTACATGAAAAATGTATTTATCTGAAACTCACATTTAACTGGACGACTCTGTATTTTTTTTCCTGCCAAGTGTGGGGGTCTTATTTGTTTGTTGTTCCAGAACCACTAGTGCAGCCTATTRCACAGGAATCCTAGAACCTGGGCACATGGAGCTAGAGTGGGGATTAGGCCCAAGGTTGTCAGATTCAAAAGCTTCCTCCATAGAGGCAAATACAAGTGTCTGCCTTCCAGGAGAGAGGTTAAAACAAGTACAAATAACAAACACAGAGTGTGATAAGGAAGGCATGCAGAGGCATGTGGCCCCACAGACATGATTTGTTTAACTCAATGTGTCTCCTTAAAGAACCAAAGGGTTGGGGTGTGGCTCAGTGGTTGATCACTTGCCTCCCATGTGTGAGGCCCCAGGTTTGATCCCCAGTGCTGCAAGGGGTGAAGGGAAGGGCCAAAGGAATGGAAAGCCTTCAGGTGTGGCACCCACCTCCAGCTCCCCAGGTCCCCTACCCATTGTCACTCACTGCCTTGGCCTGTCTGCAGGTCTTGGAGTTCTCATCTTTGTCTTAATGCTGTGGAGATACACAGGAGTCACCAAGTAACGTGATGTCCTGGGACAGTCAAAAGATAACAAAGTTCCAGCTGGAATTACAGGACCGGCAAGGGGTCAGGAGCGTGATTCGGTGCATCTCCATACCATTTTACTCCCCTTAGTATTGCTAGGCGTATGCCCTATGCAGAGGAGATGGATTCCTTCATYCATCCAGTATTTATTATCTATTATGCCCTGACACTATTCTAGCTGCTGGAAGGTTGGTGATAAACAAGACAGAAAAAATCCTTGCCTTCAACAATATTATATTCTAGTGAAAAACAGAATAACCAACCAGCCAACTAGCCGATCGTCAGGTAGTGAAAAGTACTATAGGTTAAAAAAAAAAAAAAAAAAAAAAAAGGACAAGAGAAAGTATATGGAGAATGGCGATGAGGACAGCATTTCCATGAAGGTTTTATGTAAGGCTCTCTGACATTGGAGCATGAACCAAAACAGCAGAGTGAAGGAACATGTGAAAAAGGCATCATGTGGAAAAGAGGGCAGAAGGTACAGTAAGCGCAAAGGCCCCAAGGAAAGGGTGGGCTTAATGTTTACAATGAAGAGCCAGGAAACCATGGGGCAGGAGCACAGCCAGGGAGGGGAAGAGGGTGGTCAGTAAGAAGGTTGAGGACGCAGAGAGGGCTGGCTAGGAAGGGCCTTTCTGGATACACTACGGACAGTGTTCAAGTGAGGCAGGATGCTAAAATAAAGATATTAAGAGTACCTGTGTGCCAAAGGTATTGCAAATATTAAACCAATTTTTTATTTAAAGTGCTAACATAGTCACATAATAAACTCTTATTATGCAATGTTGAATCCATATAATTTTTATTGAGTGAGCCAGATCAATACATAAGCTATAGAATTAACAGCACATTGTCAGGAAGAAAAATGAAACCATTTTTCCCGGACAGTCTATGCTTTTGTGTGGGACTGTGAGCTCTGCCTCCAAATGTCGAGAGGTGTGTGCACTGCCACCCTGTCCGTGAGCCAGTCTCTGCAGCCGCTCTTTCCATCACTGTCTCTCCCCTGTCCCCACTATCCTCTCCCACCTGCCTCCCCCAGAAAAGCTCCTTGACACGCTCCTCCCCTTTCTTTCCCCTGTAACTCTGATGGCCTGGTTTGTGTTCTGAATTCTGATGGCCTGGTTGTCCTCTGCAGATAAAACTGTGAAGCTGTGGAAAGTCAGTGAGCGCGACAAGAGGCCGGAAGGCTACAATCTGAAAGATGAGGAGGGCCGGCTCCGGGATCCTGCCACCATCACCACCCTGCGGGTGAGTGGGGCTGCTGCTCTGGCCACCAGGGTCATGGGGGGGCAGGGTCCTGGGGCTGGGCACATGTTGTCTGATACTGTAGGTTACAGCTGTAATGGGCGCATGAGGGCGCCCAGTCTCCGGTAGCAGATGGAGGAACGGGAGAGGTGCCAAGCCCTAATGACTACAAATCCTCGCTTTTCCTTTTGTCCCCGAGGACTCGCCACATGGCCACTGCCATACGTTACCATATTCTTAGCCTCTGTCTGCTCACATTATCTAAATGTCTTGAGCACCTTCTGTCCTTAGGGCACAGGGGATGAGACTCTCTGGGTGGAAAGTTGGAGTCTCATGATTCAGAACACAAACTGCAGAATCTAATAAGCCTGGGAGCAAATGGAGCCCCTTACCAGACTCTCACACAGTCACTTAACCTTCACAAGCTTTGGTTGTGCAAGTTATTTTTAGTTTCTCCATCTGCATGTGATGAACATGATTCCCACTGTTGGTGGACTTCTGAAAATAATAAAGTACAAGGAGGATGATGGGTCCTTCCTCCATGGCTGGTGCCCCCACCAAAGAAGGAATAGCTTCCTTCTAGCCCTCCAGAAATGCACAGCCTGGTAAGGGGAGGGTTTCTGTACTGTTCAAATGACGACATTCTCAATAGACAAACATACAGAAAGAGAATGTCAGAGAACTGCAGTTTGATCAGAGGAGGAAGAAATTATATTTGGTTCTGGGACGGCTGAGAAAGGGCTCATAGGGAAATGGTAGTAAAAATGGATTTGTTGTTGTTGTTGTTGGTATTGAGGATTGAACTCAATGGGCACTTGTCTCATTTTGTATTTCATTAGAGACAGGGTCTCACTGAATTTCCTAGTGCCTCACCATTGCTGAGGCTGGCTTTGAACCCCCAGTTCTCCTGCCTCAGCCTCCTGAGCTGCTGGAATTACAGGCATGCCCCACTGTAATAGCTAAAAATGGATATCTATAAGTAGATTTTTGAGAGAAGCCTTTCTAAATATAGTATGTTTTTAGTTAAATTTATTTGTTTGTTTGTRTACTTATACTGGGGATTGAACCCAGGGTGCTTTACCACTGGGCCACATCCCCAGCCCTTTTTATTCTTTTATTTTGAGACAGGGTCTCATTAAATTGCTTAGGGCCTTGCTAAGTTGTTGAAGCTGGCCCCAAACTTGCCAATCCTCCTACCTCGGCTTCACTAGTCCCTGAGACTATAGGCTGGTTGTAGTTTAGACTGGTTTAGAACTAGATGAAAAGTTTAATTTGGAACATAATGTGAACAGCAAAACAGGCACGTGTTGAAACAAGCCATGTTCCCAAGGGACTTTTAAAACTGTGCAAAGTGAATGCTTTCAGATACCAGATGCTCTATGGAAGACCAAAAACTGAGAAGGGGAGATGGCAAAGCATATGTGGGCAAGAGCAGTCCTCAGTCTGGGTTTAAAAGCATAAATGGGAATTGGATGGTCATGGTGCCTAATTAGCTCACTTGTTCATTTGTTTATTCTGCAAGTGCTTTTAAACAGACTGTTGGCCACAGTGCTAGGCTGTTGGGGATTGTCATTGCTAATGGGTACCTCATCTTAGCTGAGCTCCTTCTGAGCCAGCACACACTGATTCTCTGTTGCCTCTGGACCTGCAAGTCCACCTTCTCCAACTAGGTAGGAAAGGCATAAACCCACCCTGATGCTCCAAGGGTTTGGAGACAGAGTAGAGCAGGCAGGAGAAGGAACCTTGAGTCTGTGTGTCTTGGATTCCAACTCCATTCCTCTCTTGACTGATGACTGGGCATTTTACTTGAAACCCTGTGCCTCTAAGGTCTTTCTGTATTACAGGGATGACAGTAGTCCCTGGTCCTAGGATTTTTGTGAGGATTCATCACCCTTTCTTTTTTTCTTTTTTACTTTCTCTTTTTTCTGTCCCCCGCCCCAGGGTACTAGAGATTGAACCCAGGGCCTCAAGCATGCTGGGAAAACACTCTGAGCTATATCCCCAGCTCTGTTGTGAAGGTCTAGTAAGAGAGTGTGTCATGAAGAGTTTAGCCTGTGTGGGGTCTAAACTCGATGTCAGCTTCCTGCTGCTGTTTTAGGGTTAGACCCACCAGAGCCATCACCACCACCACCACCACCACCATCAGGGCTGTTGATAGGCCTATACGTGAGAAAAGTCATACATTTCTTTTCATGCTTTTTATATTATTAACAAACTACTCTCAGATTTCAAATAAGTGGCAAGCACTCATGTGGGTCACACAATAGGAACTCAGACATGGTGATACTATGAGTGTTATGGTTTGGATGTGAGGTGTCCCCCGAAAGCTCATGTGGGAGACCATGCAAGAAGGTTCAGAGGAGGAATGACTGGATTGTGAGAGTCTTAACCCAATCAGTGAATTAATCCCAATAGGAATTAACTGAGTGGTAACTGAAGCTGGTAGGGTGTGGCTGGAGGAGGTGGGGAATTGGGGTGTGGCTATGGAGTACATATTTTTTGTATAGGCAAGTGGAGATCTCTGACTGCTTTCTGATCATCATGTGAACTGCCTCCCTCCGCCACACTCTCCCATTTCCAGCCCCAAGGAATGGAACCAGCTGTCTATGGACTGAGACCTCTGAAACCACAAGCCCCCAAATAAACTTTTCCTCCTCTACCATTGTTCTGGTTGGGTCTGCTAGTCACAGCAGCAAAAAAGCTGACTAAAAAAGTAGGGTTTCTCACAGATGGATGAGGTGCAACTGAAGAGTTGAATTCATAAAATTCTGCCTGCCCAGACTTTACCTTGTCCTCATTTTTTGTGTGCATAGGATTTCTCAGATGCCTTCTATAGTGCCCACTATGGCTTCCTGTCATCCATGGCATCTGGAGGATTTCAGAGATATGGGCCTAATCCCCTGGAGAAGTCACCCCTGTAGTAAAGAGAAGAGAAGGCCTATTTAAGTTCTCATTGGGGCAGAGACCCCTCCCCATGGCAAGATGGTGACGCTAATGAAGTAGACTTTAAATCAAACACAAAGTAGGCACTGAGACTGGGAGTTAGAGATTCCCAATTTGGTTTTTGATTTTCTTAAGCTAGTTGCATGATCCAGACCCAGTGAATCATATTTCCTCCCTCCAGGTTTTATTTTTAAGTTGTCAAGCAGCAGATTGAAAAATGCATAAATCCCAAACCCATCCACAGTGGGGTAGTCTAAAGGAATCCACATTTTTAATTGACCCTGGTGGTTGAGGCAAGAGGGTCTGTGGCCACTGGACTCTACCGCCTCTAAGACCCCTTGGAACTGTCACTTTTATGAGCCTCTGTTATTTTGCAATCATGCGAGCAGCTGTTATGCCAATGTGGGAGACATATTTGCCATAAAATCATTTGACTCATATCTGATTTTACCTCCTATCTCTTCCTGAGCCTTTAAATATCCTGCATTTTCAGTGTAAACATCCACACCCCAACATTCTTTCTCTCAATGCAAACTCTGAAAAAGCCAACCTCCCTTTCTTTTTTAGATCCCAGTGGTAAAAGAAGAAAAAAAATGGCAACTCTGAAAACCATAGATTCAGAACAATGACTCCAAACAGAGAAGGAGCTGACATGATATTAATCAGACTATAATTTACTAACATGCTCTGCTCTTGAAATTTGCATTGCCAGCAATTGTGTCTTTTTTTCTTTTTTCCTCCCTATACTATGATTACCTCTCGCTCACTTTCACAGTTTCCAGTTCTACATGGGTCTTGAGAGTGAGAACATTTAATAATACCCGACAGCTAATTAATCCTCACTGTGTAATGAACCTGTTCTGTTTCAGCTCTGAGAGGCTCAGCTTTTCAAAGCAAGAATGCAGCTAATTTTTTTTTCATGGAAGATACCCTTTCAAATTCAATCACTTGTTACCCAAAGAGCCTATGAGAAGTACTTCTATGAAAATAGCATCCCTGCTCAATATCATAGCATTCAAAGTAATAATCATGATGGTAATTTAATAACACCTCATCATTGTAAAACACCCTTTACATAAAAATAAATGGTTCCTTACCTAATAATGCCTTGATTCTTCCTCAGGACAGACAGTGAGGACCACAGTAGCTGAGTTCCATTTAGCCTTGGATGCTTAAATCTGATCCAGGCTTTGAGGGGGGCAAGTGACTTGCCCAGTGTCTTTCAATTGATTATTCCAGGACTAGGACTGAAAGGGAAGAGCTAGGGCTGGGCTCTTAAGCACATCCATTAGAGCATTCAAAATAGTTTTCATAATAATTAGTGTCAGGGGCTGGGATTGTGGCTCAGTGGTTGAGCGTTCGCCTAGCACGTGCAAGGCCCTGGGTTCAGTCCTCAGCACCGCATAAAAATATATAAATAAAATAAAGATATTGTGTCCAGTTACAACTAAAAAATAAATGATAAGAATTTTTAAAAAAAATAATAATTAGAGTCATTATTATTCCAGGTCAGAGGATCTCTGTGTTAGTCAGTTTTCCATGCTTGTGATCAAAACACCTGACGATAACAGGAGAAAAAGTTTATTTTGAGCCCACAGTTTTAGATCTTCAGTCCAAGGTCAGCCAACTCTCTCCAGGTTTTGTTTTAAGACAAAAACTCTGGGCCTGAGGTGAGGCAGAACATTATGGCAGCTTGGTGAAGGAAAGTGCTTACCTCCTGGTAGCCAGGAAGCAGATCAAAAGAAGGAAGAGACAAGGTGACAAGATATGATCTCCCTAGGTACACCTCCAGTGACCAGCTTCCCCCAGCCACACCCCACCTGCCTACATTACCACCCAGTTAGTCCATTCAAATTAGTAATCCAGGGGGCTGGGGATGTGGCTCAAGCAGTAGCGGGCTCGCCTGGAATGCGTGCGGCCCGGTTCAATCCTCAGCACCACATACCAACAAAGATGTGTCCGCCGAGAACTAAAAAATAAATATTAAAAATTCTCTCTCTCTCTCAAATTCTCTCTCTCTCTCTCTCTCTCTCTCTCTCGCTCTCTCGCTCTCTCGCTCT